GGAATAACACAGATATATTACAAACAGGAATATATACAGAGAAGTAGAAAGTGTTAGTACGAACAATCAGGTTTAGTAGTAATTGACTGAACGCGACTCTGTTTCGGACTGCCTCTGACTCGACTGACTGACTCGCTCGCTCTGACTGACTGACGGACTTCTGACGGACCTCACTCCAGACTTCAGACTGAACAGTATTTAGTCACCCACCAACGAGGGTATCGTGTGGCACAAGGCCGGTTTAAAGTGGGATCTCTGAGCCCGTGGGCTCGGCCAAAATATGCCCTTTGAACCCGTTTAAACGGGTTCAGGGTCGGTTTACCTTCCCGAAAGAGACTCCGCCCTTCGGCGTAGCAACGTTCGGGTTCCTCCCCGCCCGAAGGCAGAGAGTTCTAGCGATCAGCCGGTCAGTCGGTCGCCCGACTTCAGACTGAACAGTATTTAGTCACCCACCCACGAGAGCATCATGTGGCACAAGGCCGGTTTAACGTGGGATCTCCGTGGTATTAGGGTTTATGTAGGATTGAGAGGTGATGGATAAGTTCTTGTGGTGAATGAGTAAATTGTAATGAATGAATGGGGCTTGAGTCGAATTAACTAGGACTAGGAGAGTTAAAGAAGACCTCCCCTCTTCAATAATTCTTCCCTGGACATGTGCCACAATTTCTGTATTGTCAGAAGTAAATATATGTATTTTGAAAACACCTAATTAAACTAATTTGTCCCAAATTTGAACATTTCGTATATCAGTGGACACGAGGTAAAAATTCAGGCAGCAGCTGCGGAATTAGCAGCATGTCTACCAAGATGATTAATGTATCATGAAAATGAAAAAATAATATAAGTGGACAATAATTAATGATAGAAATATATATATATATATATATATATATATATATATATATATATATATATATATATATGTATGTATGTATGTATGTACATATATATATAGAAATTCATGTAGAAATATGTGGACGCAACTTAATGATAGAAATAAAGATATAAATGGAAAGAAACTGATTTAAAAAAGGGGGTGTTATGTAACAGAAAGCCTCATATCTTCAAGCGCAGCATGTACATTTATTTATTTTTTTCTTGTACCTGTTGTTCCCTTCAGGACTAGTGAGATCATGGCTCTCAATAATTTTCTGTCTTATGAAGGCCTGAGTAAGTTTTAACTTTTATCTATCCCTCCTAGACCCTATTTCGACAACCATTTACAATAGCTCGTCAGGCAGATTAATCGATTTCCACAGCCACTCTTAATTTCAATATGTCATCGGAGTGTCAAATTTTCCAAGCCTTCTTTCCTCATTTTGTGCCTTAACAAATTCTATTCTTTCTTTCTGATGAGTGTCCTTTTCGTTTCCATTTTACTTAAAATATCCTCATTAGTCACTTATTTAGTCCATGGTATTCTCAGCTTCCTTCAACATTTTTGCTGACTCGAGTCCCCTTTCCATCTTGTAATTAAGTTAATAAAGAATTTTCTTCGTGAATATATAGTTTAATTAAGGTTTGTTGATTATCTGAAAAAAGAGACAATTATTTTAAATATTAACTGATAGGGGTTCATTTACATTTGCACAGCACTGTATATATATATATATATATATATATAAATATATATATATATATATATATATATATATATATATATACATATACTTGTTTGTGTGTAAAATTTCAGATATAACTAAAACTTATCTCTAAAAAGACAATATAAATAAAGACAAAGGGAATATTTATCTTATCCGACGCCTTTTGTTCTTTGCTGGACATTATAAATTTTTTATGAGTAAAATTAAAAATATTGTTAGTTTTTCAAATGTGTGAAATTGATGAAACGCTCATAAATATTTATCAGGCTAACTGAAAAGTCTAGATAAATTATGGAAGATGTTAAGTGATATAATTTAATAAACAAAATTAAGTAAAAGATATTGTTGGATTCCTTTTCATAATGTAATTAATATTATTTTAGATTGCGATTAATTTATGTATTATATATTTTAACATACATAGAAATCATCTCTCTCTCTCTCTCTCTCTCTATCTCTATATATATATATATATATATATATATATATATATATATATATATAATTAATTGTATACGGAATGAATTCCAATAACCAACAATTATTATTCTTAAAACAGTGCTCAATACAAAGTAGAGCAGATATTAATTATTATTTATAAAAAAAAAAATAACATAAATATGTTATAAAATCACTACAAAAATAGCCATTTTGTTTCAACAACATCCGATATAAGACACCGAGTGTGTTGAAACAAAATGGCTATTTTTGTAGTGATTTTATAACATATTTATGTTAGAAATTATTTTTTAATAAATAATAATTATATATATATATATATATATATATATATATATATATATATATATATATACGCACATACAAGCCTGTTTCGCTGTATCACAGCTAATCAGTGTGCCTAGACATCCGATTGCCACAAGCCAGGATCGAAAGTCGACTGATTTGGCATCAGTCAGCGATTCTACCCCTAAGCTACCCGTGCACGTAATGGATAGCGGCTCGGATTGCAGAATCAGAGACCAGAGTTCGAATTCCAATCGGGTCCATTACGTTTACTTACGTGGTAATACCCTTGGGAAAGGTAAGAATCATCTTCTTCACCTCCTAGCTATGTGTAAATAACATCACAGTGTGTGTTCCATAGACCTAAGTGGCAATCAGTCTACGAGAAGGAAAACTCTGAATTCAAAGCCGGCCTGGAGAGGTTTGGGCTCCGTCAGGTTATGTTGCCCATGAAACAGCAATTCTGCATTTGCAGTACACATGCTGCCCCTACGGATCACGGGATATATATATATATATATATATATATATATATATATATATATATATATATATAAATTAAAAAGAGGTTATGAATTTAACCCTTTTCTTTTCAATTTTTTAGTCATTTATGTTGTCTTGGAAAATGATTGCTTCCCTCAGGAACGGAAATATTTGAAAAAAGAAATCCGAGCTGCAAATTTGATAAGATTCAATAGAGTCACTCTCGGGGATTTCCCGTCTAAGTAAGTTACTTTCCATTTTAATAAATTTGGCAAACTTTAGTTGAAAGTTATAATTGAATTTATTTCTATGTACTCCTCACAATACATTGGGGAAAATTGCAGAAATTTAAAAAAATACCTATGAACATAAAAAAACGATCTTATGCACAACAATTTATCAAATGCAGTAGTGATATGTATATAGATATGTGCAGAATGGTCATTTCGATGTGGTGTAATGATTAGAAAGCTTGTCTCACGAATGAATAGTGAGTCCGATTCATACTGGGTATTACATACTTTTGTTCTTGAGCCACATTAAAGTTTCGTTTAGTAAATCTCTATATGCAGGTGTGCCAATGTATGATGATATGAATATACAACGTGGTTTCGTATCTGTTACTGACTTGGGCCCAGAATAATTAAAGCCTACGTAGGTGTAGATTTTTAACATTGGAGTCTGCTTTTGTTTAAGTTTTGGCTGTAAGACAAAAACGGGGTGAAAACGAACAGGACACAGGCGCAAGAACATTAAAAAATGAACGCACTCCTCACAATCAGATAGCTTAACACAGCCAACCAACATATGGCGAATTTCTAGCTAAGGAGACAGTATGCATTCTCCTGATCTTTTCCATTAAGGTTTCTCCAAGAAACAACGTTACCACAGCTATCCCGCGTATAAAAAAGAAACTGTTCTTCGTTGATGGAGTCTGTGATAGAGCGATAGGACATGGAGACTTTGACCCATAGACGACATGGTACGCAAATGATCGCGCATTTATGATTCATAAGACATAGCGCTATTGACAAACCCGAATATAATTCCTCCTGATTTTCATGACATCACATGCGGGTTTTGCACACTGAATAAATATCTAGGAGCCCAAATATGTTCCTCTTTCTTGTGGCGTTTGAGGCATCTGTTCGCGTGTGCCGAACGGGATGATGTGGACATGTTGGATGGCATTATGTTTTCCAGAAATATTGATATGGTAGACGACAATGAAATTCATTGTCCTTAACTTAATTCCTTTTAGAATCGTGTAGTCGCCACGAAGGAGCCTGTTGGTAATGTTCTATTCGACATCTCCAAAGTAACAGCAGGATTTCACATGAGGCGGAATCATGTTCTGAAATTTTATACGCTGTTGTCTATCATAAAATGTTTATCTCTCTCTGTCTCTCTCTCTATCTCATCTCATCTTCTTATCTATCTATCTATCTATCTATCTCATCTCTCTATATCATCTATCTATCTCATCTCCATCTATATATCTCATCTATCTATCTATCTAATTTTCTTATCTGTTTCATCTTCCTATCTATCTATCTATCTATCTATCTATCTATCTATCTATCTATCTATCTAATCCTCTTATCTGTTTCATCTTCTTTATCTATCTATCTATCTATCTATCTATCTATCTATCTATCTATCTATCTATCCTCTTATCCGTCTCATCTTCCTATCTATCTATCTATCTATCTATCTATCTATCTATCTATCTATCTATCTAATCCTCTCCATAACGATGCACTTAACCATTAGTCGATTCTGAATTCAATATGTTTATTCCTTTTTATCCTGGCGTAGATTTGAGCGTCCATCTCAAAAGTCGAGTACATTGATTGTAAGTATATCTCCGGGATAATGTCAATATGATTATTCATAAAGTCGAGGCAACCAAATGTCATAATAATAACATGATTTCATTTCACTTATCGAATTAAACAGTTATTTTAATTATTCATTTTGTCTGCCATTATTTTGTTCCCGCTAGTGTTTACTCCCCCGTCCATCACCCCCACATATTATCATTATCATTATAATTGCTTTTTACTGTTCCGAACTTGTCTCTGTTTTTAGTTCCTTTGTATGGTGGCCATCATTGCAAGAATAGAAATGAGAAGACGTCAAATGAAACTTGAATAAATCGTTTAAAAATTAGAGGGAAAAGACACCGCATAATGAAAGAGGAAAAAAAAAAATAAATTGGTCATTGTCTCCAACCATTGAATAAGCTCTGAGTGGCAGGCAAGAAAAGAACAAAAAAAAAAAAAAAATCGGCAAAAAACAAAAACACACTTGTGAACGCTATCAGCAAATCCAAGTGTTACATTGTACATTTTATCCACGATTTCGGGTTTCACGGTTTCAGTTATACACGGTTAAACTCAGGAATAAACTAAATATTTAATAAGTGACTTAAAGCAAGAGTGTCCAGGTTGATATGTGTTATGGTCCAAGTTCCATGTACCACGGTGATGGTCCAAGGTTAGAACTAATGAAAGAATAACACGAACACAGGTATGGAATACAAAGATTACATAATAACACGAATATATTACAACAGAAATATAATACAAAGTATAGTATTAGTAATGACTATCAGGTTTAGTTAGAGTGAACTGTTGTCTCGACAAGTATTACTATTCCAATGTCCTTACAATATGCTCTCAATTATCTGTCCTCGTCTTAAAACATCCTCATACCTCTTGAGAGGCACAGTATTATAATATCAGGAATAGTCCATTATTACTATGGGTAAGTTCCCATAACAATATGGCAACAAGAATCGACAAGATGATTTCTTAAGATGTAAAAGTGAAATTCCGTGACATGATACAAGGAGGATTTAATCCATGGTAAGAAAGACGCTTATCTAAACTGTATAAAACGAATTTTCCAGTATATAAGACTCAGCTGTATATAAGATGTGTTCTTATTTTGAAGAGAAAATTTTGCAAAAATATGCTACAGCCGTATGTGACATGTAACGGGAGAGACTTAGACGAAAGATTTATTCTCTCATTTGCATTCTTTTTATTATAGGCATCATAATATTTAATAACACCGTAATTCACGAACGGAACGACTGAAAGGAAAAGAAATGACAGACATGCTTCATTCTGCGAGATACTTTTATATTACTAAGGCATAAACAAACCTTTATATACATATATACACGTGTCTCACGAGTAAAACAATATATCATATATATATATATATATATATATATATATATGAGTACAGCAAAGTAGAGTATAGGAGAAAAAAAGGAATATATTATATGAGATATTTCTGTGCCTGGAGAAGTCATGTTTCGGACACTAGATTGAAACGGACCGGAGTAATCTGTTATGTCAAACACGAGGACATATTTCACGTGGTGGAACAGCGAATCTTGGGTTCTCCCAAACTGAGGACTGCGAGCCAGATTTTCTTTCTATATCTGGAAAAGATATATTCCTAAATGGAAACAGAACCATATTCTTGCAAGCTGCTGGAGGTGGCAGATTTAGCCCCAGCCAGGCCCATTTGTCCCAGGCTAAATCAACAATCGCTCGGTTTTCCTGATGTAAACAAACTGAATGTCTGGCCATTCTCGTCACTATATGGAGTCACGTCATTAAGCGGCCGTCACGTGACCGCGTCTCTTATCTCGATCAAAGGGAGATAATCACCTTTTGTATACCCACGGAAACATTTTTATGGGACTGAAAATGAATACTTTTATACTGATATTGTGTTATGGGATCTTACCCATAATAATAATAATAATGGACTATTCCATACTTAATAAATACTGCGCCTCAGGAGTAGGCAAGGGGTCAGTAGTTCGGAGTCAGTCGTTCAAGTCGAGTCAAGAGTCGAGTCAGAGGCAGTCCGAAACAGAGTCCCGTTCAGACAATTACTGCAAGACATTGGAATAGTGATACTGGTCGAGACTACATTGTTCTCTCTACTAACCCTGATTGTTCATACTAACACTTCTACTTCTCTGTACATATTCATGTTTGTAATATATCTGTGTTATTCCATACCTGTGTTCGAGTTCTTCTTTATTGGTTCTGCCTTGGACTATCACCGTGGTACAATGAACCGAACCATAACATATTGTAAATATTAGTCTAAGTTGTATTAAAAAAAAAAAAAGCTCTAAACAACGATTTTTGTTAATTGATTAGTTTTCTATGGCTTATTAATCATTTGCATAATATTTAAATCCAGAACATTTTTTTTAGATTGCAAGATCTTTTGGAGATAATAATGATTTAGTGATACAAGTCATACTAATTAACCTGAAGTCGGGGGAGAAGTGGTAGTTTCATACGTTTCTTAAGGGGATATGCGCGTAAGTGGATACAATGAATCCAAAGGAATTGGAATTCGTTTCTCCAGTTTCCAACACCGAAACGTTATCCATTACCCCACCCACGCTTACAGAATCTGGTATTCCCAAGTGGTCACTCATCTAGTTATTCAACAGGCTCAATGTTGCTTAACTTCGGTGATCGTACGAGAATCGGTGTTTCAACATGATATAGGCGTAAACCACAAGCCATTATTTTCGATACCCTGTCAATTTTCTGGTTTTTCATCTGAAATTACATTTATCTCTTTTATTTATACTTACGGTGTATAAGACGCAAGTAGATGCGGACATCAAATTTTAAGGTAAAAACTGAGTCGACAAAAAAAACCATTAAAATTTATTAGAGTATACAGATTAAACCAGATTATAAACAAATTATGAAAGAAAGAAATCTAAAGCTATTCAACAGAAGAATATTAATATATTAAAAATTATCATACAAGCCGCCCTATCTGGCGGTAATCAAGCTAAGTCCTACGGAGGGCCCGACTTATTCAGAAGTTTGAGAGTCCCTAAATTTTTGCATATTATTTATACTGGAAGCTCTTCTGACTACTGTTTGATCTCGGTTTTATTTGCATGGTACTTTCTTTTCCTCGCTGCAGCCTTGGATCTTTTGATTGCAATCTAGTCCTCTGTTGGTGAAGATATCTTTTTGCGAGGAATAGTGCTTCCGTATGCAATAAGAAACGATAAACTACAGAAATTAAAAGTGATCACTGCATTTAATCACTGCATTAATATTTAAGCTTACCTTTTAAAAGTTCAACGATAATTCTTCTGTCGCCACTTAATTTAAAGACAATTTGATATACGCTGGTCCTTTCCGTACAAATAATTATTTAAGTAAATGCCTGAATGTCCGAGACATTTTCACAGAAAATATTCGTCCTCCGAAATTCTGTGAAAATTTCTCGGACATTCAGGCCGGTAAATGTTGTTTAATACTGTTTATTATAAACAGAGCATTTACTTAAATATTTATATCTATAAAAAGAATGTATAAACATAAAAATGTCTTAAAATAATTGTCGGACTATTTCATAATATATATATATATATATATATATATATATATATATATATATATATATATATATATGTATTAGGAAGAGGTTATAATTGATCCATCGAGAGAAAAGTGTATATTTCAAAAAGAAGAGACAAACCACAAAGGTTTTTGGTTATGATGTGTATTTTTTCAAATATATATTATACTTCATTTTGCATATCTTTGTTACACGGGTTTCGGGTCTCGCGACCTTCATCAGGTAAAGTGTGGATATTTCCGCATAATAATAAAAGTAATTAATTTTCCATATGTTTTCGATGTTTAACGATTGTCTTTTTTGTGTAGTAGTAAGCCAGATGTTTTTCTTCTTCTTCTTCTTCTTCTTCTCTCTCTCTCTCTCTCTCTCTCTCTCTATATATATATATATATATATATATATATATATATATATATATATATAAACTAGTCCCGCTTATGACGGTAAACTACATCAGGCAGCAAGGTCTCTGTTGATGAGATTGGAAGATTTGAGGAGCGTGGAATCGCCTTTTAATTGCTGCTGTTCTACCCAGGTCTACCCCGACCCGAGGAGATAACACATGTTAGGATCTCAGCTATGAACAAGTAGTGAACTACCGAAACAAAAGTAAAACAATATGAAAGTATAAAAATATATTCTTATAGTTAAAGAAAAAGAACAATTCTAAAAGAAATTAAAAACAATCTATATTTATAGCAAAAGGACCAGCAATATATTTTATCTGTAACTGAAGGCAGGCAATTACATTCCATATATTTATATTTCGGCATTAAATCCCCCATTGCTGTCGATATGCCGCTAAACAAAATCGACCAAACAACCAACCTACAATCTCTTAAATCGAAGAGTATTCAAAATATAACTTCAACAAAACTACAACATAAAACACGCACATCGCCGCCTCTAGTAATTATTTCTACGCAAACATGTATATGCACAAAAGCTGAGTATTATCTACCATGTATTCAATTGTGAAAGCAGAATGACATTTTTATTACTTGAAAACTCCCAGGAAAAATTTCAGCATTAAAAGACATATAAGGAAACGATAAGCCTCTAAACAAACAAGATAAAGCAATAGAAGTAAGCAGCGTTCGAAATGAATGTGCTGGAAACCCACACCAGAAAGAAAATGTCCTCCACGCTATATAAAAAGATAGAGCTTAACTAAATTATGAATTAAATCTCTGGTACTCAGTAAACGAACACTACTATCATTTTCCTGCTTCCATACAATCTTCAGACAGTCTGAGGATTGCGTGGAAGAATAAAACTCACAGTTGTTGTTTGTGATTGTACGTCATAAATTTATTTTGTAGTATATATATATATATATATATATATATAAAGGGAAGAGGTTTTAGTAGTTCGAACTAGAGAAAAATGTGTATATTAAAAAGAAGAGAAAAACCGCAAAATTTTTTGGTTGTAATGTGGATTTAAAAAAAAAAAATATTATGATTTATTTTCCACAATTTTGTTACACGAGTTTCAAGTCTCGCGACCTTCATCAGTCAAAGCGTGTATATTTCCACATTATTAAAAATAATTAATTTTTTTCTTATGTTTGTCGATGTTAAATATTCTCGATATGAGACATTCTCTTTTTGTGTGTTAGTGACCCAAATGTCTTCCTGAATTAGCAATGAAAAGTTCTGCGTGAAGGGTTATAAAACAATTAAGACTGGTCCGAGAAATCATGGAGTAGTTATCGGCATTCTTATCTTTTCATGACCTCTGTGTGTTCTTAAATCTATTTCCATTTTCTTGTGTTTTTATCAGCATGCGTATGTATATGTATATTCCCTCTCCATACATACACACTGTCTTATTACGAGGAATTAGGAAACACATTTGTACACACACACACACACACACACACACATACATATATATATATATATATATATATATATATATATATATATAATCCGAGATATGACGATACACTGCATTTGACAGCAAGGTCTTAGATCAGTAGACTGGAGGTCTTGGTTAGCGTGGAAAAACCTCATAATTATATTCCCAGGTTCAATCTAACCCAGGGTGATAGCAAATGTTTAAATGTTTGCGTCCAAGCTAAGGGCAAATAGTGAACCGGGAAAGAAATTAAAACACCAGAAAAGTATAAAAATATCAGCAATAGAGTGTTAATCTAAAAAAAAAAATCAACAATGCATTTTTGTAGTGAAATAACCTGCAATTCATTTTCATAGTAAAATGACCAACAAGCCAACATTAAAAGTATAAAAATACATTTTCAAAGCAAAATTACCAGCAACACATTTTTATAATCCAAAACTTAATCTAAAAAAACAACAAAAAAACATAAGAAGTTATGTTCAAGCTATCCATACTTCAAGGTATATAATTTGCGTTGAAAATACATTAAGTTAGAGCAATAAAAGGAGGACAAAATATTTCGGCATTAAATAACCCTTAGAGATTGATATGCTGGCTGCTACAAAATAAAAACTATATATATATATATATATATATATATATATATATATATATATATATATATATATACAGACCCTGTTTCGCTGTATCACAGAAAACATCAGTGTGGCAAGATATCCGAATGCTTCAAGCTGGGATCGAAATTCAGTCAGGGACTCCACTCGTAAGCTGTCAGCGCGCGGCAGAGAAAGGGAACTTTTTAACGTACTATATACGTGATGCATATAAACGCTAGACCAGTAGCCATATATATATATATATATATATATATATATATATATATATATATGTGTATATATATATATATATGTGATTAGACACAAAACTTCACTATAATCAAATCATGTATTTTTTAATCATTTCATCCCAAGCAAACAAGACGGGAGTGTCACTAGCACCCAGGGTGTTACAGAGATTGAAGTGACAGAAGAGAATGGGTATAGAGAGATTGAGGAAAAGATGAAATATGAACTGGGTACAAGACAACAGAAGATTGCGATTGACGTTGCATTTAAATTTTTGAAGATTTTAGTTATCAGGGAAGCAATTAAGCGGAAGGGAAATCCACTGTCGGGAAGTGCGAGAAAAGAAACTGTTGGAGTAGAAGTGGCGGTTGCATTTAACTATTTCAACAATAAAAGTGTGGGACGTAAATGCCAATCTTGTAGCGCGCCTGAATTCATGAATTCAAGTCGGGATCGATTACAGTGCAGGTCCTTCTTTTGATTTTATCGAGAGGCTCGAGGTGAATAGCAGAGCCACCAGACGAGATTTGGCAACAGTTATTCAATGCACGGATGAATGGTAGATTTGTAAAAGTGTTAAGTTGGATTCTGAAGAGAAAAACCTTCTGTCATGTCACAGTGAACCAACTTTTCTTGCAGTAGATTCAGCTATTTATTCAATGTAGTTGGTCCACTTCGATTCAGTCGAAAACCTGAGGCTAATATATATATATATATATATATATATATATATATATATATAGATAGATAGATAGATAGATAGATAGATAGATAGATAGAAATGGTGAGAGGAGGAAGTGAGATAGATACGAGTAGATTTATATGAATTCTGATGAACAGAAGGAGATAGATAGATAGATAGATAGATAGATAGATAGATAGATAGATAGATAGATAGATAGGGGGAGGGAGGGAGGTACGGTAGATAGATAAATAAGTAAGGATGGAAGGAGGTACGATATTTCTGAATGTTGATGAAACGTGGTTTTTATTTCACTTACGCACTCTCGCATTCGTATATTTGTGTACAGGCGTTTGTAGATGCGTGTTTATGTATAATAATAGAATTATTCACAAGGCCAGTAATTACAGTGCTCTTGCACAAAGATTACATGTCTTCACTTCTGGATGAAATTCACCTTGGCTTAAAACACCCCCCACACACGTATATATATATATATATATATATATATATATATATATGTGTGTGTGTGTGTGTACAGACGCAGACATAAAATAGTTTTTGTAATTTTCTCTTTGTTTATGTAACCATTCATATTGGTATTTAAAATTATCTACAAGTCTTCGCAGACGCAAAATTGTGTGCCTACGTGTATATTTCCGAATATTCAGATAAAAGTACAAAATTATGAATGTACGCATATATATATATATATATATATATATATATATATACATATATGTTACTCTGTAATGTAATTTTGTGCTAAGGCAATGGAGTTCGTCAGTGCGTAGAGTGCACTGGCGCCAAAAGTGTCCAGACTAAGTCACGAGTAAATGGTTTAAGAATCCTCGCAGACACAGTGGCGTCATGATTGGACTAAGGAACCAATCACGCCTACATCTAGTCCGTCTCTAAAGTTCCTTCAATATATCTTTCATTGGACTCCCACCTCCCCCACACTCATGTTGTGATAAACATTCCCTGAAAACATTTCTATATTTAAATCTATTGTACCCCTAAATGCTTATAAGTGTCTGGTGTCTTCATTTCATGTGTAGTGTCCATTCAGAACGATAGCTATTAGGGATCTCTGTCCTTATTGTATGGTTTAACTACTTAACCTCTCCCTTTTCATGTTCTGCCATCCATTTTTATTTATTCGTTTGGCATGTTCCTCGCAGATTCCCTGCTTATGGCTACATTATGTTGTAATGTCAGTTCAGGTACGATGGCCGAAGTTAAACAAACATCAAGTATGGTCAGTACCTGGATGGGTGACCACTTGGGAATACCAGGTGCTTGTAAGCTTGGATGTGCGTGTGGTGTAATGGACAATGGCTCGTAATTGTTAATCGGAGAGCCTCGTTTCAATTCTCGTCCATGTTCGTTATAGTCATTTAAGCGCAGTACCGTTGTGAAAGGTATGCATCCACCTCTTCTCCCCTCCCAGCTATGGGTTAATTAGCAAGACTTGTATCACTAAACCATTACTATCTAAAAAAAATTGCGATATCCAGGAATGTCATATCACATGGGACGAGAACAATTTACCTTCGTTGTCCGAACAAATGGTTCGGTCTGAAATTCTAACGTGTATCATCTGAAAAAGGCCGGAGCGTACAACGGCCGAAACTTCGTGAATATGACAATAAAGATGAGGATAACTGTTTCGAAGAATGTAATTAATGCAAATAGTTACAATACCTCATCTCAGAAATATAGACAGATGTTGAAACGTCTAAACAATGTCTAAACATTAGGAATCTTGTAAAAGCCTGAGAAATGAGATATTTGAGTTGAATTGTGATAAATATGTTCACGGACTTGTGTGTTTCAAGGTTCTTAGACGGGCTGATGTTTTTTACCGCCAACTTTCAATCGCATTGCCCCGTATGTTGACATGAAAATCTCCTGGGATTAGCTTAACCTTTGACGATACAACAACAGTTTAAAAAAATATACTAAAGGGAAATAACTGCAACTCTGCTATCCAGAAATGGCATGGAACTAGAACAACCTAGACCGGTGGACGAAATAAAGGCTTCGGTTCGAAATTCCAACGTATATCAACTGAAGAAGGCCGGAGTTGTACAACGAGTGAAACGTCGTGAATATGACACTAAAGACGAGGACATCTGTTCGAACACTGCAAATAGTGTAAATATTTTTTTAGACATTGTTTACAAGAATTCTGGTGTTTAAACATTGAAATACATTCTTCCTCACCCCGACTAGGAATATTTCAGTTGGGGTAACGGATGTTCAAAAAGGAAAAGAACACAAGAAATATGATTTCGGTTTCCGGTGAAAGCTGTTTACGTTCATTGCACAATACGAGAGAATGCTGGAAAGTTATCTACCAGAGCAAGAAACCCTCCAAAGAGAAACCGATATTTGCTCACTTGCTCATATTTGGAGAACAGAATCGAATATATATATATATATATATATATATATATATATATATATATATATATATATATATATATATATTTGTTCGGACAACGAAGGTAAATTGTTCTCGTTCCATGTGATATGACATTCCTGGATATCGCAATTTTTAGATAGTAATGGTTTAGTGATACAAGTCTTGCTAATTAACCCATAGCTGGGATGGGAGAAGAGGTGGATGCATACCTTTCACAACGGTACTGCGCTTAAATGACTATAACGAACATGGACGAGAATTGAAACTAGGCTCTCCGATTAACAATTACGAGCCATTGTCCATTACACCACACGCACATCCAAGCTTACAAGCACCTGGTATTCCCAAGCGGTCACCCATCCAGGTACTGACCATACTTGATGTTTGTTTAACTTCGGCCATCGTACCTGAACTGACATTACAACATAATGTAGCCATAAGCAGGGAATCTGCGAGGAACATGCCAAACGAATAAATAAAAATGGATGGCAGAACATGAAAAGGGAGAGGTTAAGTAGTTAAACCATACAATAAGGATAGAGATCCCTAATCGCAAGCGTTTTGAATGGACACTACACATGAAAAGAAGACACCAGACATTTAGAAGCATTTAGGGGTACAATAGATTTAAAGATAGAAATGTTTTCAGGGAATGTTTATCACAACATGAGTGTGGGGGAGGTGGGAGTCCAATGAAAGATATATTGAAGGAACTTTAGAGACGGACTAGATGTAGGCGTGATTGGTTCCTTAGTCCAATCATGACGCCACTGTGTCTGCGAGGATTCTTAAACTATTGAACAAATAGCTTTAATTAAATTCTCAAACCAAAACAAAACTGTTAAATACGTGATATAAACAAATTTTTACTACGTTAATAAATAAATAAATAAAATAAGAAACAAAAAAATAAAAACGAGCAATATAATTTGACCTAAATAAAATAACCGCCATATTAGAATACCCACAATGCACCACTAACCCGTATATATATAAATAGCCGAGAAAAATAACAGCATATGTGGCCTGACGATTGCATATAGCATGAAACAGACTGTCGCCTCTAAGTGTTGACTTCTATGTTCACTTTTATATATATATATATATATATATTGACTCTTATGGCTAATAATGCTGTGTTTATATAAAAATAAATATGCTTAAATTCACCTTCATCACTGTCGTGGGCCAACGGTTTAGTGGTTGAATCTCGCCTGACGTCAATTCAGTCGGGTTTCGATCCTCGCTAGTCTAGCCACCCCGAACTGCAAGTCTAGCCACACTGATGAGGTGTGATACAGCAAAACAATCTTTTTGTGGATGACAATATATATATATATATATATATATACACACAAATTCATGAATTATTCACACAAAAACAAATGCAAAGGTTAATGATTTATTTGGCGAGAAATCCATCGTCGCAAACAATTCAAATAATATACAAAAACCTAATGCGGCAGAAATTTATAGAAACAAGGATCTTTTCATTCATAACGGATTCGGAGGTTTTTGTATATTATTTGAATTGTTTGCGACGATGGATTTCTCGCCAATTAAATCATTAACCTTTGCATTTGTTTTTGTGTGAATAATTCATGAATTTGTAAATTGATTGCACGTTTATCGAAATTAATATATATATATATCAAATTTAACATTGGCTTTACCGAGAATATTTTGTCCACAAAGAACATTGTAGTTTCGTGAGGTTACTTTCTCTTTATTTTCTTAAATTTTAAAAATAATTTCACCCAACAAAGGCAATAAAGCCACTAAGACGCAAGCGTTAGAGATTATGAGAAAATATTCTATTAAGAAGAGAGCCCAATAAAAGAATAAAAATTAAGAAGACAGAAGGTAACGATTGACTTTGAATTTAAAATTTTGAAGACCAATATTGACTGGAAAGCAAGAAGCAGGAAGAGAGTTCGACGCACGAGAAGTGTCATCGAAGAAACTTAGCATAGAGCATACGTTTACATCTAGCACAATGATGAAAACTTGCAGCCAATCTTGTACTGCGGGTAGATTTATAAGTCTAGGTACCATAGAAGAAAATTCATTAGAAGAGTTACCATTGAAGTATTTATAGAAAAGACAACTGGAAAATACATTACAACGGTGGGAAAGTGACTGAGGTTGCCAAGTCATGACCAGATTCTTCTTTGTATTTTATCAAGTATATCTAAATACGCAGTAGAAGCACAAGAGCATATTTGGCAGCAATGTTCAGTGCATGAAAGATTCTAAATGTGCAAAATAAATTCTAGCGAGAAAAATTGTCTAGCATGACAGTGAACCAAATTAGCTGCAGAACTAGCTGCAGAACTAGCTGCAGAAATATCTGCAGATCTAGCTGCAGAAATAGCAGCAGAAATAGCTGCGAATCTAGCTGCATTTTTTATGATAAACCATATTTTTATTGGGTACTCGTGTTTGACTTCTTATCCATTATTTGTATTTTCTTTAAAGTTTAAGAAATAAAACACAGCAATAGGAATGCGAATACGCGAATCCAGTAAAAATCACACACACACACACACACAAACACATATCTTAGTAAGAAAAATCGATTAACTAGAATAGCTGGGTCGTATATTCATCTAAGGGGACTGTTTGTTTGCAAAATTGCCTTGTAAATATACATACATACATACATATATGAAGAAAAATATACAGAAAAAACAAGCAATAATCTTAATAAATCTTCAGTTTTTTCTGTATATTTTTCTTCATACTGTCGGTCTATATCGATATATTTGCTTACATATATATATATATATATATATATATATATATATATATATATATATATATATATATGAAGAAATATAGTGTTAAGGTG